ATACATCAAAGACGTAAATGAAAGAGATAAAACTAAATAACACTTAGAAGAAAACATGGGGTTAATTCTTCATGTACTTGGATTTGGAAATGACATTTTGGATATGACACCAAAAACATGAGCAACAGAAAAAATATTAGATAAATTGAACCTCATCAAAATAAAAAAATCTTGTTCATTAAAGAACACTATCAACGCAGTTAATAGACAACCCACAAAACAGGAAAAAACATTTTCTCCTTTTAAAATAATTATTTTTCATTTACAGTTGACATAGAATATTATATTAGTTTCAGTTGTACAACATAGTGGTTAGACATTGATATAACATATGAAGTGATTACCACAATAAGTTTAGTACCCAATAATTATTATATATTATTGACTATATTTCTTATGCTATACTTTACATCCTAATGGCTATTTTGTAGCTAACAAATGGTACATCTTAATTCCTTCCCCTTTTTCATCCACCTCCCCAAACCCTCTCCTATCTGGCAGCCATGAAAATGTTCTCTGTATCTATAAATTTGTTTCTCTTTTGTTTGTTTATATTGTTTTTTAGATTCCGCATGTAATTGAAACCATATGGTATTTCTTTTTCTCTGTCTGACTTATTTCACTTAGTATAATACCCCGTAGGTTCATTCATGTTGTTGCAAATGGTTGGATTTCACTTTTGAAATAGCTGAGTAATGTTTAATTGCATATATGTATCACTTCTTTATTCATTCGTCTAATGATGGCACCCAAGTTACTTACATCTCTTGGCTATTGTAGATTATGCTACAATGAAAATATGAATGCATCTGAAATTTAAAATTAGTGTTTTGGGGTTCTTTGGATAAATACCCAGAAGTGGAATTACTGGGTCCTATTTTGTCTAGTGTTACAGTTTTTGTTTTAAAGTCTATTTTTTCTCTGGTGTACATTTTCATGAAATATCTTTCTCTATCCCTTTACTTTCAGTCTGGGTGTTTTTCAGTCTGAAATGAGTCCCTTGCAGGCAACATATGTAAGGGTCTTGTTTTCTTATCCATTCAATCACCCTATGTCTTCCAATTGGAGCATTTAATCCATTTGCATTTAAACTAATTGTTGATAGATGTGTAGTTATTGCCATTTTATTATTCAGATTTTTTATCTTTTATTTTCTTCTTCTTAAAGAAGTCCCTTCACGATTACTTGTAATACTGGTTTGGTGGTGATGAGCTCCTTTAGCTTTTTCTTGTCTGGGAAGCTCTTTAACTGTCCTTTGATTCTAAGCGATAGCCTTATTGGGTAGTCATCTTGGCTGTAGGTGTTTAATTTTCTTCACTTTGAATATTTCATGCCAATCCCTTCTGGCCTACCAAGTTTCTGGTGAGAAATCAGCTGACAGTCTTATGGGAGCTCCCTTGTAGGTAACTAACTGCTTTTCTCTTGTTGCTTTTACGATTCTCTCCTCAAGACACATTTTAATGTGTCTTGGTGTGGGCCCCTTTGAGTTCATCTTTTTTGGGACTTTCCGTGCTTCGTGGGCTTGTATGTCTATTTCCTTCATCAGGATAGGGAAGTTTTCCATCATTAATTTTTCAAATAGGTTTTCAATTCCTTGCTCTCTTTCTTCTCTTTCTGGTACTTCTATGTTTTGAATGTTGGTACCCCTGAAGTTTCCCAGAGGCCCCTTAAATTATCCTCATTTATTTTTATCGTTGCTGTTCTGGGTGTTTTCTGCTACCTTATCTTCCAAATTGCTAATTCAATCTTCCGCTTTATGTAATCTGCTGTTGATTCTATCTAAGACATTCTTCATTTCAGTTATTGCATTCATCATTTCGGACTGGTTCTCTTTTATGTTTTCTATGTGTTTGTTGAAGCTCTCACTGAGATCACTGAACAGCCTTATAAGGAGTGTTTTGAACTCTGCATCTGGTAGATTGCTTGTCTCCATTTTGTTTAGTTCTTTTTCTGGAGCTTTGTTCTGTTCTTACATTTGTGACATGTTTCTTTGTCTCTTCATTTTGGCTGCCTCTTTGTGTTTGTTTCTATGTATTTGGTAAATCTGCTATGTCTCTGGTCTTGATAGAGTTGCTTTATGTAGTAGATTTCCTATGGGGCCTAGTGGCATAGTCTTCTTGGTCACCTTAGCTGTGTTCTCCAGGTGTGTCTCTCGTGTGTGTTGTGTGTGCTCTCCTGTTGTAATTGAGCCTTGATGGCCTTTGGAACATCATTGGGAATGGTTGAAACTAAGTCTAATTCGTTGTGTGAACTGACCATGACTGCAGCCAGGAGCTATTATGCAGGAGCTGACCCTACGAAGGAGGACTTGATTTAGTGGGGCTCTAGTGAATGCCAACTCTGCCCTTTGAATGTGTTGTTTGTGGAGGTGGTTGGGTGGTGCTCTGATGTGGTCTGAATCTGGCCTGGGGCCTCTTGAGAGAAGCTCTTGTGCAAGTTAAGCTCAGTTATTGCTTGTGCCCTGCCTAGGGCCACTTGGAATGAGTTACAAAGTTTTCTGCAGGTATTTTCCACTTGTGTTGGGCTTGGAGGTATCTGGGAGAGACTGAGCTGCATACTGAGGCTGGCTGCTGCTAGTGCTTGTGCCTGTTGCTAGTGCTGGTTTTGGGGCTGCTTAGCAAGAATTATGGGGTACATAGAGTCCAGATGCTGCTTGTTTTGGGTTTGTGAACTTTTGAGAGATTTTAGGAAAATCCATAGCATGAGCCAAGACAGGCCATTTGCATGAAAAAGCCACTGAAAGTGGCTTGTGTGGTGTAGGTTCTCAGGGAATCACCACAGTGGGGCAGACAATGTTAGCCAGGTTGATGGAAACTCATAAATGACAACCACCTACGTTTGCAGGCTGGGTGTGGGGAAGGCTCAATAAAGGGACAGTGGCTTCTGCCAGCACTTCTGTCTTGGAGAAAACTGTCCCTCCAGCACTCGCCCTGAAGCCAGACAGTTCAGTTTCACCCTGTATGTCCCTGGCACCTTTCGAGCTGATACCTCAGTGCTGGAGCTCTTAATGAATGAGTCTGTCAGTGGGTAAGTTTGTTCTTAGAACCTTAAGAGGAATGCCTGGTACTTCGGCAGCCCTCTATCTCACTCAGCCACAACATAAAGAAGTTATGGAAACTTCTCTTTCTGGCCTTGAAACTCTTGGCTCTGGAGCCTGGTGTGGGACTGGGACCTTTTATTCCTCAGAGATGATCTCTGCAGCTTGGATATCCCTCCTGATTTTAAATTACCACAGACGGGTGTATAGCTAGCCCATTCCATGTCTGTGCCCCTCCTACCAGTCTCTATGTGGCTTTTTCTGTATGTCCTCAGTTATAGGACCGATGTTCAGCTAAACTTCAGACAATTCTCAATGATGGTTTAGTTATAATTCTGAAGTGGTCATGGGAGTGGGCCAGCATATCATTTATATACTCTGTCATTTTATGGAAACAAGGAGAATATATTTTTAAACATACATCTGATAAGGGATTAATTTTCAGAATATGTATAGATCTCCTAAAACTTAACAACAGAAAAAGAAATAACTAAATTTAAAAATGGGCAAAGTATCTGAATACACATTCTTCCAATGAAGACATACAAATTGTCAATAAGCACATGAAAAAATGCTTGTCATCATTATCCATGAAGGAAATGCAAATCAAAACCACAATGAAATACCACTTCATGGCTGTTGTCAGAGAGAAAAAAAAGGAAAATACCAAGTATTGGGGGGTTTTAGGGAAATTAGAACCCTTCTACATTGTGGGCAGGAATGTAAACATTTGCAACTACTAAAACACTGTTTGGCTGTTATTCAACAAAGTAAAGATAAAATTACCATATTATCCAGCAATTCTACTCCTAGGCCTATATACAAAATAATTAGAAGCAGGTACTTAAATATACTTGTACACCACTGTTCTTAGTATTATTAACAATAGCCAAAATGGGGAAGCAGCGCATGTTAATTAATAGATAAATGGATATTGTCTGACTGACAGTATTTGTTGAATGTGGCGAGTTTGCTGCTGAATTTACTCACTGTTGTATTTTAAATGAAATAGCAAAATCCTGGATTGAGCTTGCAGCAGAAGTTCAAGAAATACATGTTGGTTGATTCTAAACTTAAACTAAAACAAAAAAATATTAAACTAAAACAATTTAGAATGATCTTTTGTTTTGGTATGTTCTTTTCCTCTTCTCTTTTAATCAGTCAGTGGATAATTAAGAAATCAATGTTAAAGTTAAAATTTCTGTCTGTTCTTCATTTAATTAGAAATATGTTTTCTAAATTTGATCTCATTTGTATTGATCTTTTTGTAAGAGGAAAGGTCACTTTTTATTAGTTCCAGGTATATAGTACATTGGTTAGACATTTATATAAAATGATCCTCCCGATTACTCTATCACCCATCTGGCTCTACACACAGCCATCACAATACTATTGCTACATTCCCTATGCTGTACTCTATATCCCTGTGACTATTTTTTAACTACTAATTTGTACTTCTTCAACCCTTTACCTTTTTCTCCCAGGCCTCCAAACCCCTCTCCTCTGGCAATCACCATATCGTCCTCTGTATCTGTGAGTCTGTTGTTGTTTAGATTGTTCCTTTTGTTCTTTAGATACTGCATATAAGTAAAATCATATGGTATTTGTCGTTCTCTGACTTTTGTTGACTTATTTCACTTAGCATAATAGCCTCTAGATTATTGTGAATGGTAGTATTTCATTTTTTATGGCTGAGTAATATTCTGTTGCATAAAGGAACCATAATTTCTTTATCCAATTGTCTGTTGTTGATGGGTATTTAGGTTCCTTCCATGTCTCGGCTATTGTGAATAGTGCTGCCATGAATGTAGGGGTGCATAAATTTTTACTAACTATTGTTTTGGTTTTCTTTGAATAAACACCCAGAAGTGCAATAGTTGGGTCAAAAGGTAGTTCAATTTTTAATTTTTTGAGGTACCTCCAGACTGGTTTCCATAGTGGCTGCACCAATTTGTAGTCTTACCAACAGTGCCTGAAGGTTCCCTTTCCTCCACATCCTCGCCAACCCTTGTGGATTTTGAGTTATTGACGATAGCCATTCTGACAAGTTTGAGGTGATATCTTATTTTGGTTTTAATTGACATTTCTCTGATGATTAGCTATTGTTGAGCATCTTTTCATATGTCTATTGGCTATCTGTAATTCCTCTTTGGAGAAATATCTATTCAGGTCTGCCCGTTTTTAAAACTGGATTGTTTATTTTTTGATGTTGAGTCTCATGAATTTATTATAAATTTTAGATATTAACCTCTTATCAGATGTATCATAGGTGAATATCTTCTCCCATTCTGTAGGCCACCTTCTTGTTAAGTTTTTGGTTTCCTTTACTATACAAAAACTTTTATTGATGTAGTCCTATTTGTTTATTTTTTTCTTTTGCTTCCTTTTGTTGAGGAAATATATTGGAAAAGAAATTACTAATAGCAATATCAGAGTTTACTGCCTTTGTTTTCTTCCAGGAGGTTTCAGATCTTACATTTAAGCCTTTAATAAATTTTGAGTTTATTCTTGTATATGATGTAAGAAGGTGGTCCAGTTTCTTTCTTTTTTTTTCTTTTTGCATATATCTGTCCAGTTTTCCCAACACCATTTATTGAAGAGACTATCTTTACCCCATTGTATATTCTTGCCTCCTTCGTCATATATGAAATGAGAGTATAGGCATGGATTTACTTCTGGGCTCTCTATTCTCTTCCATTGATCAGTGTATCTGTTTTTATGCCAGTACCATGCTGTTTTGATTACTGTAGCCTTGTAAAATAGTTTGATATCAGGTAGTGTGATACCTCCAACTTTGTCATTCTTTCTCAAGATTGCCAAGACTATTTGGGGCCTTTTATAGTTCCATATAAATTTTAGTATTATTTGTTCTAGCTCTCTGAAAAATTCCATTAGTATTTTGATAGGGATTGCATTGAATCTGTAGATTGCTTAGGGTAGTATGGACATTTTAATGATGTTGATTCTTTCTGCCCATGAGCAGGGGATATGCTTCCATTTATTTGTATCTTCTTCAATTTCTGTTTTCAGTGACTTATAATTTTCTGAGAACAGGTCTTTTACCTCCTTGGTTAATTTGATTCCCAGGTATTTTATAGTTTATGATGCACTTGTAAATAGGATTGTTTTCTTTCTTTTAAAACAAATATTATTTGTTTCAAGTATACAGTAGTTTTCTTAATTTCATTTTCTGAAAATTCATCATTGGTATATAAAATGCAACCGACTTCTGAATATTAATTTGTATCCTGCTACTATACTGAAGTCATTGACCAGTTCTAACAGTTTTTTTTTTTTTGGTGGAATCTTTAGGGTTCTCTAAATAGTGTATCCTGTCATCTGAAAATAATGACAGTTTTACTTTTTCCTTTTCAATTTGGGTGCCTTTTATTTTTATTTCTTCTCTGATTGCTTTAGCTAGGATTTCCAATACTATGTTGCATAGAAGTGATGAAAATGGGCATCCTTGTCTTTTCCCTGATCTTAAGGAAAATGCTTTTTAGCCTTTCCCCATTGAGTATAATGTTATCTGTTGGTTTGTCATATATGGCCTTTATTATGTTGAGGCATGTCCCCTGTAGTCCCACTTTATTGAGAGTTTTTATCATAAATAGATGCTGGATTTTGTTGAATCCTTTTTCTGCATTCATTGATATGATCACATGATTTTTATCTTCAGTTTGTTAATGTGGTGTGTATCACATTAATTGATTTGTGGATATTGTACCAACCTCGCATTCCAGGGATACATCCCACTTGATCATGGTGTATGGTATTTTTAATGTATTGCTGCATTTGGTTTGCTAATATTTTGTTGAGGATTTTTGCATCAATGTTCATAAGAGATATCGGCCTATATGTTTCTTCTTTTACAATATCTTTGGCTTTGGAATTGGGGTATTGGTGGCCTCATTAAAAGAATTAGGGAGCCTTCCCTTCTCTTGAAATTTTTGAAATAGTTTGAGAAGAACAGGTGTTAATTCTTCTTTGAATATTTGTTAAAATTCACCTACAAAACCATTTGGTTGAAGAATTTTGTTTTTTGGGGAGTTTTTTGATTAGTGATTCTATTTCGTTGATAGTAATCAGTTGGTTCGGGTTTTCTGTTTCTTCTTGACTCAGTCTTGGGAGATTGTTTCTAGGAATGTATCCATTTCTTCCAGAGTGTCAAATTTGTTGGCGTATAATTGCTCTTATATTTTTAGTATTTCTGTGGAGTTCGTAGTTACTTATCTTTCATTTTGGATTTTAATTATTGGGGTCTTATCTATTTTCTTAATGAATCTGGTTTAAGGTTTATCAATTTTGTTTATCCTTTCAAGGAACCAGTCCTTGGTTTCTTTGATCTTTTGTATTGTTTTTCTAGACTTCATTTCATTTATTTCTGCTCTGATCTTTATTATTTCCTTTCTTCTTCTCATTTCAGAATTCGTTTGCTTTTTTCCTAGTTCTTTTAAGTATAAGGTTAGATTGTTTATTTAAGATTTTTCTTGTTTCTTGGGGTAGGCCTGTATCATTATGCATTTCCCTCTTCGGATTGCTTTTGCTGTGTTCTATAGATTTTGAGTTGTTTTCTGTTCATTTTTATTTGTCTCTAGGTATTTATTGATTTATTTCTTGAGTTCATTGTTAACCCATTCATTGTTTAGTAGCATGTTATTTACCTCCATATGTTTGTGTGTTTTTAGTTTTTTTTCTTGTAGTTGATTTCTAGTTTCATACTACTGTGGTTAGAGAGACACTTGATATGATTTCAATCTTCTCAAATTTTTCGATATTTATTTTGTGGCCTAACATGTGGTCTATCCTGGAAAATGTTCCATGTGCACTTGAAAAGAATGTACATTGTGCTGCTTTTGGATGAAATATTCTGAAAATGTTAATTAAATCCATCGGGTCTAGTGTGTCATTTAAGGCTGCTGTTTCCTTGTTGATTTTCTGTCTGGACGATCTGTTAGTGTTAATGTAGTGGCCAGGTGGAAAACCAGAAAACTGTTGGGTGTCATTGGGGTGTTAAAGTCTCCTACTATGAGAGTATTGCTGTCTCTCCCCCTTTTTATGTCAGTCAATAATTGCTTTATGTATGTAGGTGCTCCTATATTGGGTGTGTATATGTTTACTAGGTTTATGTCCTCTTGATTTATTGATCCCTTTATCTCTCATAGTAGGAGACTTTAACACCCCAATGACACCAACAGTTTTCTGGTTTTCCACCTGGCCACTACATTAACACTAACTGCATTCCCTACGCTGTCCACCCCATCCCCTTGACCATCTGTCAGCTACTAATTTGTACTTCTTTAACACTTCACTCCATTCTCCTACCCCATCAATCCCCTTCCCCTCTGGTCATTACCAGATTGTCCTCCATATTTGTAAGTCTGATATGTCTTTTTTATTATAGTTATCCTAGTTGGTGTAAAATGATATCTCCTTATAGTTTTAATTTGCATTTTACCTTGCATTTAATTTGCAACATTAATAATGTTGAGCATCTTTTCATGTGTTTATTAGCTATCTATACATACTTTTTCTTTTTTCTTTTTTTAAATTAATTTATCTTAATTAGTTTAAAGTATACAGTACATTGTTTAGACATTTATATATTTTATAAAACATTCCTCCTAGTTGCTTCCTCCCTCCCCTGGCCCTCCACCTAGCCAATATAGCAATGCTGACTGCATTCCCCATATCGTGTTCCCCATCCCCACAAACAACTATCGACTACTAATTTGTACTTCTTTAACCCTTCACCCCATTCTCCCAACCTCCCAACCCCCCTCCCCTCTGTCTATCACCAAATTGTCCACTATATTTGTAAGTCTGATCTTGATTAGTTTGTTCTTTTTGTTCCTTAGATTCCACATATAAGTGAAACCATACGGTATTCGTCTTTCTCTGTCTGACTTATTTCACTAAGCATAATAACCTCTAGGTCCATCCATGTGGTAGGATTTTATTTTTTATAATGGCTGAGTAATATTCCAGTGTATATATGAACCATGACTTCTTTATCCAATTGTCTATCGATGGGCATTTAGATTGTTTTCATATCTCAGCTATTGTGAATTGTGCAGGCAGGAACATAGGGGTGCATAGATCTTTACAAATTATTGTTTTGGTTTTCTTTGGATAAATACCTGGAAGTGCAATTGCTGGGTCAAAAGATGTATCTATTTTTAATTTTTTTTAGAAACCTCCAGTGGCTGTACCAATTTACAATCCTACCAACAGAAGCACAAGAATTTTGTTTGCTCCACATCCTTACCAACACTTGTTGTACTTTGATTAGTATATGTTAAATAATGTTACGTCCTCTTGTTGTATTGACTCCTTTATCATTATGTAATGCTCTTGTCTCTTATTATAGCCTTTGTTTCAAAGTCTATTTTGTCTGACATAAGAATTGCAACCTTAGCTTTTTTTTTTATATTGCCATTTGTGTGAAATATCTCTTTCCTTTCCTTACTTCTAGTCTGTGTGTGTTATTTAATCTGAAGTGGTTCTCTTGTAGACAACATATATATGGATTTTGTTTTCTTATCCATGCAGCTACCCTATGTCTTTTGATTGGGGCATTTAATCCATTTATGTTTAAAGTGATTATTGATAAGTACATTGTTACTGCCATTTTTATTATTCATATTTATGAATTTCCCCCTTTTTATTTTTACAGAAGACCCCTTAACATGTTTTTAATACTGGCTTGTAGGTGATGAATTTCTTAAGCTTTTTTTCTGTCTGAGAAGCTCTTTATCTCATCTTCCATTTTAATTGATAGCCTTGCTGGATAGAGTATTTTGGGTTATGTTCTTGTTTTTCATTACTTTGAATATTTCTTGCCAGTTCTTTCTGGCCCGCAAAGTTTCTGTTGAAAAATCAGCTGACATTCTTATTGGGGTATCCTTGTGAGTAACTAGCTGCTTTTCTCTCACTGCTTGTAAGATTCTCTCTGTGTTTTTAACCTTTGGCATTTTAAATATGATGTTTCTTGGTGTGGGTCTGTTTGACTTTCTATTGTTTGGGACTCTTTGTGCTT